ATTTGCCTAGTTCCCAAAAATATGCTCTCGAAAAGGCTCTAGTAAAATTAAAACGTTGATACTGAACGATTTACGCATTGTCATTTGTTGGAACTTGTTACCAGGGGGTTTCTGGGGTTGCTAATTAGGAATCTGAAGTCAGTTTTTCAAAATTTAAATGGCGGATCCAAAATGGCGATCCATTTTTTTTTAATGATTGAATTTATCCGAAACCCGGCACTCGAGAGTTTTTGGGGTCGCGGATTAAGAATCTGAGGTAAATTTTTTTATATTCAAAATGGCAGATCCAATATGGCGATCAAATTAAAAAAAAAGGTAATAAAATTAAAACGTTGATACTGAACGTTTTAAACATTGTCAAGGGTTGAAACTCGTTTCCAGTGGGTTTCTGAGCTTTCTGATTATGAATCTGAAGTCAGTTTTTCAAAACTCAAAATGGTGGATCCAAATTGGCGACCAACTTAAAAAAAAAGATTGGATTTGTTTGAAACTCTTAACCGCCATTTTGAATTTTGAAAATCTTACATCAGATTCGTAATCAGCAACCCCAGAAACCCACTGGAAACGAGATTCAACCCTTGAAAATGTTTAAAAAGTTCAGTATTAACGTTTTAATTTTAGTATTTTTTTTTTATTTGACCGCCATATTGGATCAGCTATTTTGAATTTAAAAAAGTTGACTTCAGATTCGTAATCGGCAACCCCAAAAACTCTCGAGTGCCGGGTTTCGAACAAAAAAATTGGATCGCCATTTTAGATCCGCCATTTTGAATTTTGAAAAACTGACTTCAGATTCCTAATTAACAACCCCAGAAACCCCTTGGTAACAAGTTCTAACCCATGACAATGCGTAAATCGTTCAGTATCAACGTTTTAATTTTACAGTCTCTTTTCGAGGGCATATTTTCGGGCACTAGGCCCATTCTAACTGCCCAAGACAGGTATGTAATTAAGGGAATGTTCCCCAATAATACCAGAGTAATTATATGTAAGAAACCACATTTTTAGCTGTATTTGAACATGCCAATAAAATAAAAAAATTAGAACATCAGCATTTTTATAAAAAACCGATCAGCCCAACCTCTAAGAAAACATTTTTTTCAAAATAAAAAAACACGTTTCATTTTTTTTCTCACAAATAACAATAATTTGAGGTAGCGTTTATGAATTTCCAAAAAAAAAATTTTTTTGAACCACTCTAATATATGTGTATATATAAAGAAGATAGATATAGATAGATATAGATGATACAAACGAGTACATGCAAAAAAAGTAGCATTTACATATGCAAATACATATCGTGTAAGAGCCTTGTAAAACAGACCTACAAAATTTCGGTGCAGCCTTTTTCATAGATAAAACTACCTGCATTTGAAAGATTTTAGATGTCGATGACTCTGAATAACAGAATTTCTGTAGGCTTTTTCGTCCTTTATGGGATCTAATCGTTTGGCAAATGAATAAACTTATCGTATTTTCGCTTCTACCTAAAATCTTCCTCATCCATACTTGATTACATATAATCTATATATATAATACGCGAAGTCATTTTTTGCTCAGGATAAAAGATCTGCTCCGTTCGCTCGATTTTCAAAAACGGGGTGTCAAATTAAAGCGCTTGGCCTGTAGATGTGCAAACTGGTATTATTTTTTGCCACCTGTTGAAAAATTAAATTCAAATTATTTAAAAATCAATGCCATTATATCCGCAGCGTTCGTTCGATTTTCCGAAATGAGGTGACAAATTAAAAGGCTTTGACTGTATGTGCAATAAGGTTTTACTTTTTCGAAAAGAGTTGCCACCTTTTAAAAAATTCTATTCAATTTATTTAAAAAAATTGATTATTACAAAATGGGTATCAACCGAAATTTTTTTGAAAAGATTTGTTTCTTATCCGAACTATAGGAGGGTTGTCACATGTTTAAAAACTTAAATTCAAATTATTTAATAAGTTTAATGAATTTTTAAAAATAGGTATTAGTCCAAGGGGATTTGAAAAACTTTTATTTCTGAACTGTTCTTAGCGGGCTTGCTACATGTTTAAAAATCTAATCCCACTTAATTCATCAGTTAATTAAAATATGTATCCCAATGTCAGGCGAAGGACAGTTAACAAGGATTAAGCTTGAAAATACTTTTAACGGGGGCAATCATCTGTTTGAAAGGTCAAACTCAATTAACTAAAACAAAAAGTATATAAAATATAAAAATACCGTAGTCAAACGAAATAATGTTAAGAAATCTTTAGTTTGACATTTGGAATGTTTGAAGAGGGTTGCTACCTATTCAATTATTTAGGAGGGTTGACATTTGTTCGAGCAATCAAATTCAAATTAACGTCAGACGAAAGAGATTTTAGTCTAGGAATACTTTTGAAAGGGAATTTCAAAAATGAGAGGTCAAATTAAAGACTTTACCTGTAGATGTGTGGTAAAGTTTTTATTTTTTTTTTCATTATGAACTTTTTTCATCGGGATAGGGTGATTTGAAATTTGATGAAACTAAAAACATGTACTATGCCAGACTGCGTTTCACTGGCACTCGCTTCTCTCATAGCTCTGACTAACATTTGGAATATTTTTTAAAGTTTTGAAATTAAGTTTTGGGCGTTTTGACGCCATGCGGGTTCACTAGTTTTCAATATTTTGCATAAGAAAGGAATAAATAATACCGACCGATTCTGGGTGTGCCTCACACTACTATTATTTTGACCGTCGTTGTATGTTTCAGTACATTCGTATACATATATGTAGTACATGTGTATAAAGATTGAAAAAGTTGCAATACGCTGTGGGGAAAATCTCTAGTTCTGAACTGGTGCGCTTCTAGTACATTTAGACACACTACTAGTTCGCAATAAATCTCTTTGCATGCAAACAACTGGCAAGTTTAACACGGCGATGTCATAGGAATTGGAAATTGTTCCCCACTGCATTACCTTTTCTCTAGTTCAGAGACAGTCCGAATTTCGACATATGGGATCTAGTTACTTTGCACCCCATTTTCTAAAGTTTCGAACCAGTTGTAAACGAAAAAGGTAACAAGATGTTTTCTTTGTGGGTTTACCATGGTAGCGATTTTTAATTATTTGGAAAGAAATGTGTTTTCAATCTGAAATCAAATTTGTTGGACGGAATGTAAATCAAATTGGGCATTTTGAAAACGCGTTTACATACCTTTGGCTGTAGCCGAATTTGCAGGGCGCTGGCTGTTATTGGTTAGATTCCAGAAGGTCACAAATTGTTAACATGTTAAAACAAATTTTAGTTTTGTATTACGAAATTATGAAAATGCATCGGCGAAGTGCTTAAAGCGTATTTGAACGAAAACCCCGCAAAGCAAAAATCTATTTAAAGTAAACAAGCCCCCCGCTGCATCCCTTTTACGGTAGTTCCGAACTAGTTCAAAATTCGCTAGATGAGATCTAGTTCGTTCTGCATTTCTTTTTCTATAGTTTCGAACCAGTTCTAACTTCGTCTTTTTAGATTTAGATTTCTAAAAATAAAATTGCTATTTAAAGTACCTCATCTCGCTGCCTCTGAACTGGTGGTTACTATCGGACTGGTTCGTTTTTGGCGATAAAGATTTAGTACGGAACTACAAATTTGGTTCACCAGTTCGGGGTTTCCCTACAGGGTATGTGTCTGGCGGCTTTTTTGTTCAAATACGCTTTTATTCTGCACTTCACAGACGCTTTTTCATAGCTTGGTAATACATAACCAAAATTTAATGTAACATTTTAATATCTTGGGACCGTCTGGAATCTAACCAATAACAGCGAGCATCTCTGCAAATTTCACACACACGGAAGAACCACGGAAGATTGAAAAATCATGATACTTTTTTCTTTCGTCTGTCGATTTTAGAACTGGTTCGGAACTGTAGAATTTAGAACGAGTTCAGAACTATCGAAAAAGGGATGCAGTGGGAGGCAATTGAAACTTACTAGGAGATCTCCATATTAAATTCGCCAGTTGTTTGCATGCAAAAGAGATTTATCGCGAACCACTACTGGGTCTAAATGTACTAGAAGCGCACCAGTTCATAACTAGAGATTTTCCCCAAGGGATAGTTCCGAACTAGTTCTAAATTCGACAGATAAGATCTAGTTCGTTCTGCATCCCTTTTTCTATAGTTCGGAACCAGTTCTAAATTCGTCAGATTTCTACTGAAAAAATTATTTTTTTAAAAATACCACTTTTCGCCGATTTTGGACTGGTGGGGATCTAGTTACTATGGGACTAGGGGAACAATTAGTCCCTTCATAGGACATGCTCGAACAAAAGGGAACAGTTCATTCCATTTAAAGAGATCAAAAGTGGTATTAGTCGCATGTTCCTTTGCGATTGCTCCCGGAGTCATCCCGGATTAGTCGCATTTTTTGCAGGGACCGACCGAACAGTTCATTCCATATAAAGAGATCAAAAGTGGTATTAGTCGCATGTTTCTTTGCGATTGCTCCCGAAGTCATTCCGGATTAGTCGCATTTTTTGCAGGGTAGTTACGGCCAAAAGTGTTCAGGTTCAAATCTCATTGGGCAGAACATATAATTTAAAATTTTTATTTTCGTTTTTTTTTTTAATTATTAAAAAGTATCTATGAAGTCCACAACGAAAAGAAATGGTACTTTACAGGCAACAAGTTACGCAGCGGAAGTCAAGTGTCACTTCCTAGGACAACTCCATGTTAAATGCGACAGTAGAAAGCATGGGTTGTAGATTTGCGAGGTACCGGTATTCGACTCCCGAAAACTGGTGAATTCACTAGTTCTGTACTAGTAGTTTCCGCTGCAGGGTATGTACGTACATATCAGTTATACACACGTGTCGGTGTACCAATCCTTGTATGTTACGTATGCATTGATTATGCATGCATTCGATGCAAAATAGAATCATAAAAGGACACATCTTTTAGTCAACAGACCACATGGACATTTTTCACATTTCACTATACATACTACTCTAAAATCTTGTGGGAAATCATTTTATTATTTTCACAGATTCTGCCGCAGAACAGTTCCTGACATCAGTTGACAGTGCTTGTGTTTTCCATAACGCCAGCTCGCGTTTCGCTGATGGGTTCAGGTTCGGATTAGGTGCCGAGGTTGGCATATCAACGGCGAGAATACACGCACGTGGACCAGTAGGCGTTGAGGGACTTCTAACGACTAAGTGGATTTTGCGGGGACAGGATCACACTGCAGCTGATTTTGCAGAAGGCGGAAGCGGTGTGTGGCTGCACGAATCTTTGCCCTTATGAATGCATGCATCGAAATTAAGTTATGTATATGCGTAAATTTTTATATTTTGTACGTCTTAAAAATGTAACTATGTACATTCATAAATAAGATGTAAGTTTTAAGAGATTTGTTCTATATAAATATGAATTTATGTGCATTCGTACTATATATGTACGTTCTGTGTGTTTTTATACTTATTACTCTCAAGATAATTTTTTTGTAAAATTTTACTTGTCCTTCCTTACATTGTAAATAAATATACGTATACATATGTAATTATTATTGTAGTTAAAAACACTAATAGGTATAAAATTTACAAAAAGTCACCTTTATCCATTTATCACATCGTTTTTAGTACAAACGATTTTAACCTCAAAGTAACTACAGAGATATAAAATCACAAGCAAAAGCCCGGCGCACAGTGTACAGTGGTTCAGCCGGAGATCAAAACTCAAAAATATGCACATTGTCTAACCTGTGATTGATTGACAGGAAATCAGCTATTATGGTACTTCATTGCAGTGTAATTTTTTTTTGCAATAACAAATTGTTTAGATTACTTCCTCACGAGCGTTGCCGAATTGACGATTTCGTCATCATTTTGAAGTATTTTTAGGTCAATGATGTTTTGACGATTTTCCACCCGTAATGACGTTTTTTTTTTACTTTATCCACTTAATTATATATGTATGTTGTACATATACATACATACATATATGTATGTGCATATCGTCATTTAAAGTACAAAACCGCGTATCGTCATTCTGCAAAACCGCGTAACTGACATTGGCTGCCAAAAATTGGATTTGCTCACACAAGCTCTTGGCTCAATCCTTATCCATTCGTCCTGAAATATACTAGCCAGAAATTCGATTGCTTTATAAAAAAGATAACCATTTTGAAATATTAGTGTTTTTACACTCTAGAAGATAATTGACGCAATCTCACATACGCGGTTTTGCATTTTTATGATACGCGGTTTTGCATTTTGTTGATACGCGGTTTTGCACTTTAAACGACGATATATTTGTTAAATGAAAATGAATTTGTTAAATGAATGCATTTACATATCTAGTTTTTTTATTCAACCGTTGTTCTAGAACTGTAACCACATCATTAATTTGCACTGCTGACACTCATTTCAAAGAGATAGAAAAATATCAGGAATTTGTTCAGTCAAGATTATCTATCGTTAATAAATGCTCCTGTTACACTTTAAAACTGGATCAAAATCCTAAAAAACTTCACATCAGTGAAGTTCAACAATTTAAAAGCAGTTGTGTTTTAAATCGTAAATCTAAATTGTCGGTTACAATTACAAATCAACCTTTAGTAACCCGTATGCAATATGGGTTACCTTTGGTTTTGTAATGTATGGTCATTAGGCCGGAGTAATTTAATTTCGAAAAAAGTGTATGGCATATTGGAACTTTACGTTCGATTATAAGAAAAAATTGTGAACAAACTAAGTATATACCAAAATTGACGTTTGACCCTGCCAATTTTTAAAAGAAAAATCAGTGTTTTGTAATTTTTCGGAACGAAATTAATTTTGTTTTTACAAAATTTTGAAGGAAACTTCATGCAATATACATACTGCCTTTTCTTTTGAAAATTGGGAGGGTCAAACGTCATTTTTGGTATACAGTTTGCTCAAATGGACGAAATGGCGATTTTTTTGGGGTAAATTGACGATTTTTCAGCGAAAGCTTTCGGCAACGCTGTTCTTCACTCTCGAAAGTTGAGAAAACATGTTTCATTGTAAATCATGTTTTCAGTGAGTCAGTAACAGTGCACGGACTTCCAAAAAATTAAAAGTGGTAGATTTTACACACAAAAATCTGTGGAAGTTGGTAGATGTTTTAAAAGAAAAATATTAGATAGTTTTTACTCATATAGGATAAATGAAGCTGAATTCAGATAAGGTAGTTTTATCAGAGCTGGTGGATCTTCGCCTCGGTGATTCTTGTTGTTAAAATCATGTATTTGTTGTAATTCTTATTGTCATTATGCGTAAAACTTGTTAGTGGCATGTTTGTTTTTGAACTTCTGCTGCCACCTTATATGAATTCGCCTTGGAATAAATTGTTAAAACATTCAAGAAAAACGTATACATAAAACTGGGCCCGAATCATGCCATCCGTGATCGAATGAAACATACCCGGCGCAAGTATTCAATATAGTTTTTTCACCTTTCCGAAAACTACCGCTACGTGGTCAGCAGAGGTGGTTTTACGCCTATTTCAAAAATCTTCGATAGAACGTTCAGTTAGACATATGTAATGAGATAAACTATACACTCCGCTGCATAATTATAAATCCAGTACAAAAGTCTTCGAAACAGCCGTCACACTCCAGATAGGTAAAAACTTTCTTCTATGACTTTTGCATGGTAAAAGCTCTCCTAAAATAGAGTGGTTAATTTTTTTATAATCATAACCTTATTTAAAAGCAATAAAAAAATCTAAAAATTACTTGTTGCAAAACTTTAAATCCAACAAAAGAAATCCCAATAAAATAAGTAAAACATGCAAATATGTCCTTCGAATACTCTATTTGTGCTCCATTGACTTTAATTAACCGACTTCCAAAAAAGGAGGAGGTTATCAGTTCGTCGGAATATTATTATTATTATTTTTTTTTTTTATGTATGTTACCGCATAACTTTGAACTACGTCAACCGATTACTTTTTGCATCGGAAAGGTAGTGTCTCAGAGGTGGTCCCATACTAATCTGGTTGAGATCCGACCAGTGGATCATGAGATATATATATATATATTTTTTTTTTTATATGGGAGTTGAAGTCGGTTTTTTTTTTGCTAAAAATTACTTGTTAACTGAACCAACAATATTCGGACCCTTGTGCTCTCGTGACCTCAATCCAATGCAAAATGAGTGGAGAATACTGGCAAAGAAAGTTCATGCTGATAATCGCCAATTTACAAACGTTATATGGCTTGAATTGGCGATTTTGCAAGAGTGGCATAAACTGGATGCTGCTTTACCGAAGACATTATGTCTAAGTATGAGGAAGCATATATTTCAGTTAATTAAAGTCAATAGAGCACAAATAGAGCATATTTGCATGTGTCACTCATTTTAATGGGATTTTTTTTTGGATTTATAGTTTTGCAACAAGTAATTTTTAGATTTTTTAAATTCTTTTAAATAAGGTTATGAATACAAAAAAATTAACCACTCTATTTTAAGAGAGCTTTTACCATGCAAAAGTCATAGAAGAAAGGGTTTACCTATCTTGATTGTGACGGCTGTTGCGAAGACTTTTGTACTGTACTGGATTTATAATTATGCAACGAATTGTATAGATCAGTGGTTCCCAAACTTTTTTCACCTCGGCACCCTTGTTGTGCTAAAAAAATTTCACGGCACCCCTACTCTTCAAATGTCTACGAAACCAAGAAAACACAATGCAAACTTTATGCTCCTTTAGCCTTAATGTGAGGTAGAGTTGTCAAACTATCGATGGCACTATCGATAGTATCGATAGTTTCAATTTTTTTAGACTATCAATACTCATTGATAGTTTTTTCTTATACTATCAAAAATATCGATAGTTTAGTAGGACTATCGATCATCTCTACCAATAATTTTTAAATTATTTGAATTTTTTAATTTGAATTAAAAATTTAGTGTTTTAGTGTGATGCCGACGTCATATTCAAATATGCACGCATTTAGGCCAAAATACAAACATATGTTAATCGTGAATCCTGTTTTGTTTGTATAACTTGTGTTTGTTTTTGAACTTTCTATAAAGAGAAGTATTTTGGCTAAGCATTTACTTAATTTTGAATGATTATAACTTTTATAAGATAATATTTTTTTCACTATGATCCTGTAAAAAGAAATCAACCTAATTGATTTAGTACTATCGATAGCGCTATCGATAGTGCTATCGATAGTTTTGTTTTTTCGAGACTATCGTGAATATTGATAGTTTTTCTGAAAACTATCAAAACTATCGATGGTGTGACTATCGATAGTTTGACACCTCTAATGTGAGAACTGAAATTGTTTTGATGATTTCATTATTTCCTTTAACTTTATTGGGAGCTTTGACAATTTTAGTCTGAAATCGTTTGACGCTGAAAGCTTGCTGGTGTATTTGTTTTTAACCGACTTCACAAAAAGAAGGTTATCAATTCGTCGGAATATTTTTTTATTATTTTTTTTTCTATGTATGTTACCGCATAACATTGGAACACGTTAACTGATTACTATACTTCTTTTTTAAAGGAAAGGTGTTACCTGACAGGGTGTCTAATTTGGTTTAAATCCAATCATTGGATCATGAATAGATTAACGATAATCCTAAATTCTTAGAAGGGAATTGAAATCGGTTTTGTTTTTTTTTTTTGCTTAAAAATGTAAATGTAAGCATTTGTTGAAAATCTAGTCTCACATAGAAATGTAAAAGTAAGGCCCCTATTATGAGTTGTATTCGACTGTGGTCGAAAGTGCTGATCGAACGAATTTTCATTTGGTATTATGACGCTCATTCGATGAAGAATAGCACTATTGTGAATTTCGCTCGGTTAGGTTGTTTACAATAGTATATTTTTCACCGCTGAGAAGTTTTGTTTACAAGTCGAGCAAACTAAATAGTGTGCATGTAAATTTGTGCAAATTAAAATGAAATAAAAAAGAAAGCGAGTTTATAAAAACGTGGTGAAAATGAGTACAACGGAGTTCTGGTTCAACGATTCGTCAGATGAGAGTAGAAAATGTTTAAGAGGGTTTAAGTGTAGTCTTTCGAATTAATAAAAATTTTTTTAAATTAGTGTCTAGCCGCCATAAAGTAAAAAAACAAATGCAAATCATAAATTTGTCACAATTTTCTAACACTTCGCTACACCGTCGAAAGCAAAATTCTATTCGACAGAAAATTCGATACTCAACGAAAATTTCGACACGGTTGCATAGCTCATAATTTCACGTTCGATGTTCGATCTGCGATAACCAGCGAAGAAAGTAATGCTAAGAAAATAATTTTTACAGCCAATTTCACGAAAGCAATTTAAGTGATAAATGATTTTAATTTTTTGAATTTTATATGGGAATTTCTAGTGAAACCGGCTGTTATCAATTTTCTTAGCGTTAACTTCGAAGTTACATACGTTTTTCTGATTATTTTGTTTATTTATTTATGGGGTTTTCATGCAAATTGCTAGAAATTCTAAAATATACATGTCACCAATAAAAAAATCTCGACGTGCTAGAAAAAACTAGAGATGTATTTTAATTTCGCAGGCTTC